AGCAGGCAGTGTGCCTCTGAGTGGGCAGTGTGTGACACTGTGAGTGTGAGGCCATAGAGCCCAGGCCACCCCAGGAAACTGGAGAAGCCAGGAATAGGGATCGTTTGTTGAGGAAAGTTGCAGTTGGTGAGAAAAGCCACCCCAGGAGAGGAGCCATGTGGCCTGCAACTGACCACGCTGTAGAAGCACGGTTGCCCAAGCCCTCTGGAGCTTACATCTTGCCACAGGCTGCTCTGAGTGCTGGATGTAGACATGGAATTACAGGATTGATTTATTTATTTATCTTTTTTTTTTGTGGAACCGGGGATTGAGCTCAGGCCCTTGCGCTTGCCAGGGAAGTGCTTATTCCACTGAACCACCTCCCCGGCCCCCATCATCTCCCTGGCCCCCGGAATTTCAGGATTTAATGTTCACCCCGCTGGGTTTCTGTCCTGCTTTGGTCCTATTCCTTCCTAGCTCCTTATTTTGCCCTTTTGGGATGGAAATGTTTACCCTCTGTCGTCGTCTTCTGGAGATATTGAACTTTCTTTTCAAGTTTTCAGGGGCTCGGGGCTAAGACTTTGCCTTGAATCTCAGAGAAGACTTTGGGTTTGGACTTTTCAGCACTGCTGGCAGTGTTAAGATTTTCCTGACTCCTAGAGAAGGCCTAAATGTGTTTTGCAGGGCTGGTGAGATGGCTCAGTTGTCTAAAGCACCTACTTAGAACAAGCTTAGCAAAGCACAGGGACCAGGGTTCAATCCCCAGCACCACATGCCAGCCAGCCCCGCCCCCTGGTGGGCTGAACTGGCCACACACACAAAATAATTTAAAAAATTAAAACTTAATAAAAAATAAATAAATAATAAAAAAATTTAAAAAATAAATGTGTTTCACATACTGAGGTGGGCTTTGTGGGGGGCAGGGGCAGGGTGCTATGGTTTAGGTCTAAAAATGTCCCCCCAACATCTCACACATGTGGATGACCAGAGCATTGTGCTGGTCTGTGGATTCATCACTGGATGGGTTTAGGAGCTGAATGTCACATGAGGAGGTGATGAGGTGTGGCCTGGCTGGGGGCTGGCGCTAGGGTGTGACCGCGAAGGGGGCGTTTCTCTCAGGCTCCTCCCTCCTCACCACTGCTTTCTGGCTGCCACCAGCTGAGTTAGCGTCACTCTGGCAGGCTTTTCCATGGTATATTTCTGGCCTGGCACCAGCCAACTTTGGACTGAACCCACCGGAAACTGTGAGCTAAATAAACCTGTGTTTCTTAAAGCTGTGGGTGTTGAGTGTTTTGTTCCAGCGATAAAGATGATGCATTCACGTAAAGGAATAGTATTCAGCCACTAAAAGGAGCGAGTTCCCGACACACTGAGCAACAGAGAGAGAACCCCGCAGCCAGACTGGGGAAGCCAGTGGCAGAGGCACATTAGGGACGTTTCCATGTGGACCACATTCTCAAAAAGATAAAAACCACAGCCACAAAGACAGAGGAGTGATTGGCAGGGCCGGGGGAGGGTAGGCGGAGGAAGCAGAAGGAAAGAGTAACCTGCAGAGGGAGATTTTTGGGGGTGTATGTGTGTAATGAACTCTATTCTGAAACTGGGTTTATGCTAATCTACACCCATGAACATATTTGAGAAAATATCTAGAATGATACACACACATAAAAAGGAATATGGAACTATGTAAATTTTAAATTTGTTCATTGTTTTTGTTTTGCTTTTTTTTTTTTTTTTTTTTTTCGAGATAGGCTCTTGCTCTGTAGGTCATGCTGGTCTTACATTTGCAGCATAGCCTGGACTGGCCTGAAACCAACCGGCAACAAGCCTCCTACCTCCGTCTCCCAAGCGCTAGGCTCACAGGCCTCTACACCACGCCTGGCTGGTACTATATAAGTTTTAAAAATTAAGGCTGAGGCAGGAAGATGGCAAATTGAAAGTAGGCCTGGGCAACTTGTTGACTTAGGAGGCCCCTATGACACAATTTTGAAAAGAGCTAGGGAGTGTGTTCCTGTGTTCAATTCACAGCACTAAATAAATAAACAGGGGCCAGGGAGATGGTTCAGTGGCATAAGTGCTTCCCTGGCAAGCTCAAGGGCCTGAATTCAATCCCCGGTTTTGCAAAAAAA